AGTTAAATTGAAAGGCCATGGGTGGGATCAAGGCCTATGTGCTAGTGCCCTAAAGAGCTAGTAATTACATAATGCAGTTGCTCCTCCCTGAAAATAATCAATGGATCATTGTGGGGAAAAAAATACCATCCCACCCATAAAGATACTGTAAATAAGTAAACATCAATTCTATGTTCAGTTGTGTCAAATGTTCCATGATGATGTGATGAAATCAAAATTGCCTGACCATAGCCAAATGATCAAAGACATAAAAGCAGCCTCTGCTGTTCTCAGATTTAAAGTTATAGGACTCATGAAGTGTCTAGATGTCACCACACTTCTTTCATCACCGTTGTCTAAATTGTCTTCTACACCAGCAAAAGATCTTCAAAGACTATTGAGAAACTTTCAGTGAAGGGTCACAGAAACTTTATTCTGAAACACACCACTGTGGTGCTATTTTTCACTGGCTGGTCTAGCTTTACCTACTGACGATTTTTGCCAGATGTATTTTAGCTGAAGAGAAGCCCTTCATCATATCACGGCAGGTGCCAGCAAGATGCCTCTGTTGTCACAGGCTTTCCTCTGAGGCACTACACTAAGATTGTAGTACAGCTGAACCTGCAATGTACAATTGCCTTCAACTCTGAATCTGTTCCAGGGAGGTTTTTCGGTAATGGTAGCATGCAAATGGTACTATCCAAAAGTCAAAGACACTCCACAGGCAGCCAGGGAAATGGGACAGAAACTGTTCAGTGTCACGAGTTCTGCTAGGTAGTTTCTGGCTTGGCACACCAGGCATGTATTGTTGCTGAAAAAGATTGCTGTTTTAGGGCCTTGCAATTTTTCTTCAGAAAGAGATTTAACGGTTTCTCAATGCTGTTGAAAATTAGATGGTAAAGTGATACACTTGCTATGCACAGGTACACTGTAGCTGGTTGTACTAACTCAGTTGGTCTTTTCATCTTAGTGGAACTTTTAAACACAAAGTTAAACAAGTTATTCAGTTTCAGCATATAAACTCTTAACTTGTCCAGTGTGAACTCTTAACTTTTCCAGTGGATGCATGCACCTTCATTTAGTAACTTTAAGCCTCTTGGCAAGATGCTTGCCTTGTTGTTGCCTTCTGTATATGTCTTAAAAGTATCACTGTGCCTTTCCTCAGGGGTCTGCAGGCCATGCATTGGAAGTCACTGTGCTATGGCAATGTGAAAGCAAATGTTGATATAGGTCACAGCATGCTTATATGAAAGGAGACAGGGCAAATCCCTGGCAAGCTGGAGATGGAGACAGCATTCTTATTGCGAGTCACAAGCTCTTTTGACTCCAGTCTGAGCCTAACAATTTGCTATACTGTCACTGTCTGCTGCCTCTGTCAGAGGCAGCCTCTAACTCTTCATCAGTATAAACTATCTTGGTTTGATTCCGTCTTATAGCTGATGGTAGATCCTAGGAAAAGTAGCCCACAGATGGATGGAGGAATCACGGCTTGTCCTAGATAGGATCCTTGACACAGACCTAACCTAGACAAGGCTCGATATATAGAAAAAGCAGAGTAAGCCTTCCTTAGGCTTCAGAGCTTCAAACTGTGTATAATCAATTTCATTCATCACGGCAGGTATTAAAAGGGATATACCTTATCTTATCTTTGGATTTTCACTCACATAGCAGACCAAACTAATACTGTTTACTACAAATATCTATATTGGTGCCTTTCCATATTGTCATTCAAGTCATGCTGAACTGCTTTCATAAAGACATTGTCTCCACCATTGCTTTCTTTATACGGAATCCAGCCTAGCAATGGGAGGAAAGTTGCCACCTTTTTTTGTGAACTTGCAGTGTTCTGAGGTTATTGAGATATTGCTTTTGCTTTGAGGTTGTCATTCACTTAACACTAATTGCCATGCTGGAATTACTGTGCGTTGTATTATAACACCACACCAAGACTTTGAAGAACAAATCTCTGGAACTAAGTGCTTGTGTTAGTATATGGGTTCCTGAGAAGTGCAGAACACTGTTTTGTTCTCAAATCCATTCTTAGACTTCTTAGAAAGTCAAGCTACTAAGTTATGGTGCCCTCCTGCATACATTGGCATTTGTTTTCTTAGCAGCTTCTAAAGAATTCTAAAAGATTGTACAAGTTTGAAGACTAGTGTAAATACAGGTTAGACTTCAACTTAACAAAAAAAAAAAAAGAGTTTAAAAGGAGTTTTAAAGAATAGCATTTAAAGAGTTTGCTTGGAGCAGGGAATTGGACTAGATGACCTCCAAAGGTCCTTTCCAACCTAAGTCTTTCTATGATTCTGAATCTCATGAGAAAGTTTTCTCTAGCATCATAAAACCACAAGCTCACTCACTGCTATAATGAGGAAGTCTGACTCACACTGTCCCCCACTTCTCCTGGAAGAATGTTGCCCATCCAATGGCCAAACTGATGACTGGAGTAAGGATACAGTGTCTGGAATGAAGTGGGTAGAAAGCTATATTATCAAATGAGGTTGATTCAATGTCATTGGCAGACAAACTGGAGAGCCAAGTCATTAATATTGATTGAACCAGACTTTACCACACATGTTTATTAAGAACATTACATTAAAAATCAGAGGCATACATTTTGATTTTGCAGCAGATTCTTTGAGGATGTGAGACAGTTGCCTAGCAACTTCTGGTGTCATCACCCTTTCATTAAGTGTTGTATGTAACAGTTTTCCTCTACTACTTTGAATTTAAAAGCTTCACTGAATAATGAAAAGAAGTCAGAAGCATATTTAACAATAGTTCTGTATTGTTAGCATAAATAATATCCTCATTTTACTTCCTTTACCCATCAGCAGTAGAGTCTAGAAAACCCATGTCTGACTGCCTTGTTATTGCTTTGCACCACACTGCATACGAAACTGTGCAAGAGTCAGTGCCAAGCATCTTTGCCCTGAAGAGCTCAGTCTGGAGGAAGCTGGGCTGAGATGAGCTCAGAAATATTTGGGTTAGCAGTTGGATTTTTTCCAGCAGTAGAGTTTAAAGAATTTTTTTTATTTTCTTATTTTTTCACTAGAGTTGTCACTATTGAAAATCAAACTTTGGGCCTGTATCACTTTAGTTTTGAAAATAGTATATTTAGGACATGCATCACAACAGCTCATGTCTTTTGGTGACACATGCAAAAACTACTTTCTGGTGACACTTGTCTGTGGTACTGCCTTAGGATAAACTCCTAATGGAAACTTGTCCAACTCTGGGCCTCCAAATGCAATTAAGCTTTTCCCATCAGCTCAGTGGAGGCAGACGCTCATGGAAAAATACTTCTAAAAGCCAGTCCTAACATTAGCAGTTTCTTAAGAAAACTACTTTGCTCTTATTCTCCTTCCAAAGTTCTTTTCTCCTATTTCAGTATACTTTCAGGATATGTTGTAAATTTAATCCTGTAGCATTTTCCAGAAGATTTTCAGTGAAATAATGCAAGAAGTGATCTGTCAGTCTGTTTCTCTCTTTTGCTATCAGAAGTCCTTTAACCTTTAGTTAGTGAAATAAGTGTAAATCCTGTGTGGTGCAGGTATATGCCAGCTGGATCAGATTAAGAGGGTGGGGTAACACTGGAGACTAATTATGTGGAGAAAAAAAGGAACAAGAAGGGACACATAAATACCATTCACAGAACTTCTTGGGAGGAAACTGCTAGTATGCACTTGGTAAATGGTTGAAATCATCCAGATACAAGGTTGTGCTATGAGCAGGCCTTGCTGATACTTTTCAGAGTGGGGCTGTGGAGGAGGTGTGCTCTAAATCATGGCCTAAAAGCAGAACCTTCTTTGGCACTCTGGGGGTCCATCTCTTGTATGCCACTAGCAAAGTAAACTGGCCTGTGGGATCAGAAGGTAGGAGAGAAGCTACAGGGTTGTGCTGTGAGTACAGGAGGTGGTGATGCTGGAGAAATGTGGAATCACATGCTCAGCCTATAAGACTTGACAAGCCTGGAGTAATATAGAGACTGAGGCCTTGCTTAAATTGCATCTTAACCTGGGGTGTGATTAAACCCAAGATGCTTAAACTTGTGCCAATACCTATGTGGGCAGTTGTTTAAATTTAATTTGATTAAACATTTAAAGCATAATGAGAAAGTCAGTCTTAGCATCAGGGAAAAAGGATCTAAGTTATTTTCCCTGTGGACAAAACCTTGCTTTCCAGGTTTTCAGTTCTCATGTGTGACTTACTCAAAAGAAAATGTTCTTTGCATTTTCTATCTGACCCATGGTAAGGAAACAAAACTAGAACTGCATAACATTTGGCAGAAGTGTATGTTAAAATACATATCAAGCCTTATTGGATTCATGCAAGTAGTATTAATGAGGTCATGTAACAAGCTGGACCTATGTTTTCCCCTCAGCCATTATCTACCTGGGGAAGAAGCAGAACCTAAGTATGAGGTCAGGAACATCAACTGAGTTTTTAATAGGTAAATTAGGGTTTGCAAAATATCACACTTAAAGAAGCATGAACTCCAAATTAATGAGTACAGTTCTTCTACAATTTACCCTCCCATTGTGTCAGGCCATCTTTTCTCCTACCCCCAAATGCTGTGCTTTATTTCCAGGGGCAGATAGTAGTCTTGGTCTGGTAGGTCCTTACTGCACACTTGGGATGTGTATGATGGCAGAGAGAAGTGGGAAATACATGGGAGTAGTGGGTCTTTTTCTCAGTCTATGATAAGGCAGTGCATGAAAAATAAATTGGAACCAAGGTACGATGAAGGGGATGTGCAAGGGTTCATGTAAGTCAGATCCTAATTATAGTATCCTCTTTGCTCCTATATAAAGAGTTTAGGTGATCATGGGGCTCTAGACCAGGTGCACCTTTTGCTGAGCATAAGAGACCTTTTATCTAGCCAGGATTTGAGCCCTGAACCCCATAGCATCACTTTTTAAGCAAGATTTTGTCATATTTGAAGCAAACCCTGTTTGTCACATCTGTCTAACAATGTGTGTTTTCTTCTACCCTGGGAGCAGTGGAGTGAAGTGCAGCAGATGATAAATGGTACCCCAATCTATATGTACCAGGACTGCAGTGTGCTTTCCGAGGGTGACACTGATCACTGGCTTCGCACCAACTGGATTTATCGGGGCGAGGCAGCCTCCCGCATTTATGTGGAGCTAAAGTTTACTGTCAGGGACTGCAAGAGCTTCAAAGGTGAAGTGGTGACCTGCAAAGAGACCTTCAATCTCTATTACATGGAGTCTGAACAAGATGTTGGGATCCAGTTCCGCCGCCCACTGTTCATCAAGGTCTGTATCGCTGGAGGTGAAGACTGAGTCATGTCTTTCAGCTTAAACTGGTCATATCTTTCAGCTTAAACTAGGTGTGTCTTCTGGCTGGGAGAGGCCAGCATCTGGGGAAAGGCATGGATAGTAAATGTTGTCCTTAGAATAAACTTTGCCCCCAGTGTCCTCTGTGATGCTCATTGCAGTTGTTGCCACAGGAGGCACAGGAGTTTTCAAATGTGATCAGACCTCCATTCTGCGTAACCACTTATTTAACCAGACACCACGTAGGTAAGGATTCTAAAGGGTTGTGACAGTGCTGGATGGCTACACCACTTTTTAGAAACAGTAGAGACCAAAGGAATTTGATTTGCCTTAGATAATAGAACAAGATTAGACCAAGTGAAGAACAGAGACCAGAATCAATTTACTCTGATTACTATGACATATATGGTCTTATTTTATAAACTTGGAGGTGATGGCTTGCTAAATAATGAAGTTCTTCCTGCTATGAAAGTATTTAGCATCACTATATTTTACCTGCTGGTTTCCTCAATATAGTACCCTCTTGCCATGGAAACATTTGAATTGCAGAACAGGGAACCTCTGCTGCAGAGGAAATTCTATAATCCAGTTCTGTCCTAGAAGAAGCCACAGACCCAAATTATTTGACTGGCCTTTCCTTTGCAGTTTAAATGGCATGTGATGAAAACAGTAAAGGCTACCACAGGCAGAGCAGGACTCTGGTAACTGATTCCCCTCCCTTCCCAGTGCTACTCCACCTCCCCTGCAGCCTATGATGTGAATTTGTGCGATACCTCCACAACTCCTAAACATGCCTTATGATCCCACTGCCAGATGCAGCTGCTCTACAGATCCTTTCATCTCCCATCCAACTACAGGGAGTGGGTGGTGTCATGCAATGGGGAAGGGCCTGCGGAGGAGAAGATCAGTTATCAGGCTCTCCCACCAAGAAGAAAGGCCAACCCACCCGCAGTCCAGCTCTTCCATATCACAGGATGTCAGAGAGGCCTTTCCCATTTGCCCAAGCATCCCACTCACTCTCATCTGTTGTTTACTGAGGCATTGGGAATGCAAGAGCGTGGAAGCGTTTTTCACCCAAGTATCTACAGTGTTGAAATATGTTGAGTTCTGCATGAGAAGCACCTTGCAGTAGATGACCTGAACTGCCACAAGTACAGCCTAGAAACAGGTGGCTGCAATTCACTAAGTGGTGTTGTGATTTTACTGCATACAATTTGCAAACGAAGAAAATTATCACAGAAGAGATATTCGCTCCTTTAGGGGCAGTTCCTAAAGACCTCTGAGATCAGAGACTCAGAACATAGGGTACTGTAGAAGATCAGTGAATGACTACAAAGCAGTTGAAGATGATGGAATGTATGGAGGCAGGAAAAGATGCTGACCTCACTGTCAACACCCCTTCTGGGTGGAGGAAAGCTAGCAGTGCCCTGACATTAGAAGCAGTTGACCACACAGCCCCTAAAAGGCCTTAGAGAAGGCATAGGTCTTTTAGCTGCTGTGGCCTGCTAAGATGTTAAAGCTATTGTCTTTCTCTTTTTCACTTAGCTCAACACTGTTGCAGCTGATCGAAGTTTCACCAGCAGAGACATTGAATCAGGTGCCATGCAGCTGAACACAGAAGTGTGCCCCATTGGGAAGCTCTCTCGCCGCGGCTTCTACTTGGCTTTCCAGAACTCTGGGGCTTGTGTAGCAATGGTGTCTGTCCGAGTGTATTACAAGACTTGTCCAGAGGCCGTGCGGGGCCTGGCCCGCTTTCCAGAGACCCTAGCAGGATCAGAGGGCCTGACAGAAGTGCCTGGGGTCTGTGTGGAGTATGCTGCTGAAGAAGTGGGCTCTCCCCCAAGGATGCACTGCAGCACTGATGGGGAGTGGCTGGTACCAATGGGCCGATGCCTTTGTGCTGTGGGGTTCGAGGAAGTCGATGGGAGCTGCGTAGGTGAGTATGCAGACACTAGCTGTAGGCCATGGGAGAGGTTCCAGAGAGCTAAAGATCAGAGTATCTGTAAGCATAAAGTGGGATCAGGGGAGATAGTGTGGTCTACCTCTCTCTTGCCTGCCAGGTGTATCTTATATCTTTCCTCCCCTCCTTAGCTTCTCTTTTTCAATTGTGATTTTTCTCCTCATGTGTCAGGTGTAAGACCTGCACACACCTCTCCACTCCCTCTTGGGCTTCATCCAGGAGCTTTGAGCTCTGGAGCTAATTTCTGTGAGCTGTTACTATGTGATTGACACTGACTCACTCAACAACTGGTTCTCAACCCTTGAACAGCAGCCTTGTTCTCTCAGGGCAGATGGGGCAGATGCACAGAGCAGAGTATTTGTCCCATGACTAGAAAGCAGAGAGATGGAGGGGGACAGGTTTCTCCTCTGTGTCCCTTCTTTTCTGGACTGGGATGGTTCTTGTGCTGTGGGAAGCCTTCTGAAGCACATTGCACAATACCATGGTGACTGTTCTTCTGAGGAAGAGCCATTAGCAAGTAGAACAGTCACCAGGGTGTTGGAGTCACAGAACAAGCAAGGGTTGTTGGAACAGTCAGTGCAGGGCTCTCCCTTGACCACAGAGGGGACAAGATTCAGCTTCTTAAGGCAACTTAGTGTGTTTGTCAGAGGAGAGGATATGTGTGGTGTTTGGGGGGGATATGTATTATTGTGGAGAGCGAGGTAAAACCACATCTCTGCTCTTGTTGTTGAAGCTGTATGGCACAATGCTAAGGC